TTTGGGAGTGAGAAACTGTCCATCTGCTGCACTGTTGATTTTTGTTTTTTAACAATAGACACCTTATGGGGAGCTGTGGTGCCTGGTTACAGCCTGCATTTGGAGAGCGACAGGAGCTCTGTGAAGGTGGAGACTTGAGTTACAGAGGAGTCTGAGGTGTCCTGCATCACGTGCTCTGTGCTGGAGCTTTTATTGTGCTGTTCAGCACTGCCCAGCGTCCACATTGCATATTTCCAGGGGATGTCACCTGAGTTGCTTGGCTCATGACGAAACACTGCACCCTGTGAGTGCTGAGGGCACCTGCCTGGCTCCTCTCACCCTCCACAGGGACAGACCTTGGCACCTTCCTCCCAATCACCAAGTCCATTTGTTACATAAATACTGCTGGCTGGCTGTGCATGGCCTGAGGGCTGCTCCCATCTGAAATTCCCAATGGAAGGTGCCATTGCAGGGAGCATTCTGTCTGTGTGTTCTCCAGCAGCTCAGGAGAGGCAGAGCCCTGCAATGCTCCCCAGGATCAGGCCATGGTGGGTGCTGTGCTGTGGGATGGGCAAGAGCCAGAGAGAGGGAGATTTCCAGGCTGGGCTTTGAGCCTAAGCTGTGATTTCATTTGAATTTTTACCCCCCAAAAATCTGTTCTTTAAAAAAATTACATCTTTGTCTTTGGCTTGCTCATCAAGTAATTTGACAATATATGAAAGCTTGCAGATTCCTGTAACATTTATAGTTCAAATTCTGATGTCCCTTGTCTTGTATGTTTGAGGCACCTGCTTATACTGCTTTTCTTCCAAGATACTGAACTTCTCTGTGCTGAAAGAATTCTCCATATTCTGGGGAGCAGAAGGGTTTGGGCCTGTGCCCTGCTTTGCTTGAGGCCTCAGCAGCCTCTGTGCTTCAGTCTCCCAAGAAAGTCTGATACAACCAATTTAAAGACAATTTCCATTTACCTGTGTGCTGCTGGTTGTTTGCAGGACAGGGAGGTTCTGTAAGGAGGCCTTGAGTTCGTGAACTGATTTGGAAGAGTTTCTCTTAATTTTGAACACTGAATTACTTTAATTAATTAATGGCTAAATATATTGGTTTAACATAACAAAAGGCTGGCTGGACAAAACAGGGAAGGGAAAGAAGGGCTCAAGATGAGCCACCTCTTTGCTATCACTTAAGAGTTGTTAAGGGATGTCACCAGAGCTATTAGCAGAGAAGATTTTAACTTGACTATTGTAATTTAGTTCCTGAGGCTTGAAATGAAGCAGCAGAGCAGAGGGACTGATCTGGAAAGGAACACTTTGGTGTTGTGTGGGAAAAGCACTTGTCACCCAAGAGTTCTGGGATGCCCTTGGAGAGGAAGGAGAGGGATACCCAGAGTTAGAGTGCATTTGGCTGATGATGTGGAGCTACAACCTGTACTTGCTTCCTACTCCCCTCTCTCTGGAATCTTGCTCTTAGGGCTAAAATTGAGCATGGTGCTGAGTCCTGGGCTCACCCCATCCCTGGGGTGACTGCAGGCTTTTGCTGGGAGCTGGATCCTGTCACACCTGCTCTGTTAGTGTGGCAAGGCTACAAACTGCTGTGGTCCAGGACTGCTCTAAAAATGGAAAAATTGCTTAATTTTGGGAAGGTAAGGCCTGAGACCTGGAGGGCCCTGTGAAGAAAGAGCTGCATGGCCACCCCTGTAATTAGGAGAGCTCAATCATGTCAATTACACTGGCTGGATTTGCAGAGTTGTTTGGTTTATAATGGTAATTTATCTCCTATGGCAGAGGATAGTAAGTGGTGTGGTGTAAGTCACTGAGGAGTGAAATGGAGCAGACAGGGATGTGTGAGCAGAAGCCTTTAGATGATAACTGGAGCCTCTGAGGGCTGACCCTTGTGTCTGTCCCTGCAGTGGCTGCAGCTGGGGCTGTGCAGTTACAGCTGGGCAAAGACCTAAAAAAACCCCAAATATGTATTTAAAAATAGACTGATCTCATGTATTTAAAAATAGACTGATCTCAAGGCCTGGAGTGTGTGTGCCCTAAGGCATCTCTGTCATTAGGGTCACACTTGGCCGTGGGCTGCTCTGATGCTGTGCCTGTGGCAGGAGGGCGAGTGCAGGCTGTGCTGCTTGGCTTCAGCTGCCTGCACATCAGCAGAGTTCACCTCTGCAAGTGGCATTTTCCCCGGAGTGCTGCTCTGCAGCTGATCGGGGGCTTTGGGGCCAGGGAGGAGGGGAGGGAGCGCTGTCTCTCGGGGGAGGAGCAGGACCGAGCCAGTGGCTGTGCGAGGTGTGAGCCGGGGGTGCCTCTGGCAGAGAGCAGCTGCCACTGCTCTGTCCCTATCTCCTGGGCTTGTCTGTGTCAAAGAACGTGAACTCAAGGCAGATTTGCTTTGTCATCCTGACTTTGGCTTTTGCCACTGTGAATTTCTTTTCAGTTTCTGGAAGCTTCTTTGTAGTTCTCTACTGGGAAGTCCAAGAGGCGTTGAAACACATAGAAGGGCTCACCCCAAACATCCCCCATCACACAGATCATATGGTGGGAGTGGGGAGGTGAGTTTGGGAATATTTGATCACAAATGGGGCAAATCCATTTGTGTTTCCAGCATGTGTTGTTCTTTAGTTAGTTTTTAACCCGATGCTGCAGAGGAGTGTTGTTGTTTCCCAATGGCAAAGCACACTGAAATATGACCCCGGGATGGGAGTGCTGGCCCCAGGCCTGTGTGCACAAATAGCCCACTACCTTCTGAGGCCTGTTTGCAGCCCAGCAAACAAACACAGCCAGGCTGCCTTGCAAAGAGTTGCAGTAGAAATCTGCCCCTCGGAGCTTTTATTTTTCCTGTCATTGTCAATAAAATGTCAGTGCCACTGATTCCAGAACGATCGCTCACAAGGTGTTGTGGTCCATCTGAAAATGTAGTTATGTAGTAGTGGATTAGGAAGAGAAAGAGCTGCATTGCTGTCTTTTGTATCTCCTACAATACCTTTTGCCTTGGATTGCTGTGCTACAGGAAGAAATCCTGGTGCAAACTAAGCTGCAGCTCATGGTGTTAGCTGGGTGAGCGAGCAGGAGTCTCTTGGCACAGCCCTGGTGTGAGTTATGTAAATCTTGTGCAGTGTATAAGCAACAGGCGGTTGGTGACGTAAAACTGAGCATTTGTCTCTGTTTACTGGCTAATGTGACATGGCCCCTTCCTGCAGCATTTGACTGAGCTGGCGGGATTAAATGGAGCCCTGACACTCCTGAGTAGAAGCCGCCTCAGGCTGAAGGATGGTTTCTGCTCTGGAATTCTGAGTTCTGGCCACAGCACGGGACCCGGTGGCTCCTGCGTTGGACCAGAGTCCGCTGGGCACGGATGGCAAAGGTCTGGCTGTGACGCTGGGGTTGCTGAATTGCTGATCTGTCCCCGTGGCCATGTTGTGCAGGCCATTCCTCCAGTGCCTCCTTAGCAGAATGTCAGCAACTCCTGTGACTCACACAGCGATTATCTGCTGGCTCTGGTGCTGTGATGGATGGATTGATTGCAAAACCGATGGGGCTCTTTGGGTCCTCTCCCAGTGCCCCCAGTGTGGCTCTACCCCCTTGCTGTTGCCCCCCAGTCAGCTGCTGCATTTTGGGTCCCCTGGGGTTTCTGTAAGGAGAAAGTGACACTGCTCCCATGCAGTCCAGATTTTATCCAGAATGTGTCTGATTTGAATGTTTTTTGCCATGAACACTGTAGGAATTGAACAGGAGGCAGTTTCTTTACTCACTGTTTCAAGCCTCTTTCCAGCTGGCAAGCAGCCCCGCAAAGCCCTGTGTTTGCTCTTGCTCAGGGTCACGCTGCAAATGTTTCTCTTGCTTTCACCTTGGCTGTCTGACTCGGACACATGACACCCCACCACTGTCCAGCCCCTCAATATGTCACTGTGCCCACACAGAGCAGCTTCTGCAGGGCTTTGGTTTTAGGTGCTGGTTCCCAGTTTCTGAAGGCTTGGTTTTGGTGGGTTTTTTTTTCTATCCTGCTCAAAAAAGCAACACAGATTTCTGCAGTCATGAATAAAAAAAGCAGTTGTTATGCCCGTTGCGTTTGGGGAGATTTTACTCATCTCCATTCTCACAGCACCCACTCACAACATGTAAATCAGGGCCATAACCTCTCAGACATGTATAAACAGAGGAATTACATGACTTGCCAAACACTTACATAATGACTTAATAGTATATCGTGGAACTGAGCTGAGGCTCATGAATCCTCTTCCTGCCTGACTGTTCTTCTTCTCACAGTAATTACCATGAGTTGTAGCTACACCATGGCTCAGGAATCGATAGCATTGTGGCTTTCTGAATGTCCTTAATACATCACAAACTTGCACTGTCATTTATCTTTATTCAGTGAGAACTTTTGACTCAGGTGGTTTGTAAGTTCCTGCAAGTTGTGACTACCCAGAGCTGAGCAGGCACTTTATTGATGAATAAACAGTTTGTACCTGATGCTATGTTTCAAAAACTCCAGCGAGGCTGGAGTTATTATCTGTAGCTACTGGTGCCCTTTGGCCCTGAGAGTTATCTTCATGTTTTGTTCCTCTTGTGCTCCTTTTGAACCTTGTGTGCCAAAAGAAAATGGAGAGGTTTGGTTGGTCCTTTTGAAATGAGCTGAGGTAACAAGGCTGGTGAAGAAACTGCCCGGTGTTTGTGACATTGCTCTTCTCTTGGTGTCTCCTGAACTGTTCAGCAAGTTTCATAAAGAACTGTTGGAGTAGAGGCCTCCAAGACTTGTAAGTTCTAAAGTTTCCAGGGAAAGTAGAAGCAGAGTAGAAAAGTGATCTAAGCCAGTGTCCCTGGCAAGAAAAAGTGCTGTATTTTGAGCTCTGGTATCTTAGAGAATCCATATGTGATGGAGATAAAAGCTTTTTAAAATCACACGAGCAGCAGAGTTATTACAGCCTGGATATTTTTGCTGACCTGTTTAGGATGACATATGACCTGTGCAAAGGGCCTGGCCCAACTGTACTTCAGGTTGTAATGTGCTTTTTTCCTTTTCAGGAATCTACAAGCTGCCATTGGAGCCTACTATGATTTTGAGAGTCCAAATATCAATGTCCCCTCCATGTCATTTGTGGAAGATGTCACCATAGGTGAAGGAGAGTCCATCCCTCCTGATACCCAGTTTACAAAAACATGGAGGATACAGAATACAGGTGAGGCCTTTAGCTGCAGGTGCTGGGATGCAGTGGGAGGGATGCTGCCTTGAGGCAGGAAGCCTGTGTCACTCAGCTGGGCTGGAGCCACCCTGAGGTGCTGCCAGCCCGTGCAAGTTCCCTTCCTGGATTGGCACAAACATTTTGTGGTGGGATGGGCAGCTCGGTCAGGTCACCAGGCTTGTTCCTTGTGCCACCACACAAACAAACTCTAGGGAACTTGTAGACAAACAAGGCAGTGACACAAGGGTCATGTGGCAGGTCCACTTCGGGCAGAATTGCCTTTTCATGCTCTGAGAGGATGCAGGGCTGGAGAGACCACATTCCAGTTTGGAATAAGTCAAAGCAGTGCCTGGGATCCAGGAAGTGAGGCTGGCAAAGTGCATTCCCAGTGCCTGATCTGGTGGGATGCAGTCAGAGAGGAAAATGAGATCCATGGATGTGAAGGAATCCCTTGTCCTCAAGCAGTGCAGCGAGGGGATGTTGCATGAACATTTCAAACTCTGTCTGAATTTAATTGACCTGCTTGTACTTGTGTGGGAGAGAACAATCTCACACTGGGGTGTGATGCTGGGAGTCATCACGAGTCAGGTTCAGCTCCCTCAGTATTTCTGCTTGTGAATAGCTGCAGGACTTGGACAGAATATCCACACTAAAACCACACTAAAAATCTAAAAGTATTTCATTAGCATGTTTAAGAACACTGATTTATAGAGGATGTGTTCTAGAGGAAGGATTTAATATTTCAGTGTACTTTTTCTGTCTCCTTCTGTTTGGAAGTACAATGGAAGGGTGAAACATGGAACGTGCTTGAACTCCAGTACTGTGAAAAGTTGACTGGCAATTTTTTTATCTGTCCCAAATTCAGCTCTTACAAATCTAGTAAGTGTGATAGGTCTTGTTTCTCCACTCTTAGTATCTCAATTTGTGTGTGTTATGACCACACCTCTATCTTGGGCTGACTCCTCCCTTCCTTGTTCCTCTGATGTGCCATTTCCTGGATGCAAATTCAGCCTTAATTTAGCATCCTAGTTCAGGGGATGTTTCATTGTTCTTGGAATGTTTCACCTTCTGAAATCCTGGGCCTTCTAAAATGGGGGACTGGATCTCATCTTGATTTAGGATTTCCTGGCAAGGCACACATGTTTTGGCCTCTGTGTGGTTTGAACCTGGCTTGTCAGACCTTCCATCCATGCCCTAGCAGTGGTGCTGGAGGCCAGGGCCTGGTACAACCACACTGCTGAGGGTTAGTGAAGTGCAGCTTCACATGCTGCTCATGACTGCAGTGTGAGGAGCACTGCAGCATTTGAAAACCATTCTTTGGTTTAATTAAGGTATAGTATCAAAGGGCTATAGTGTTTCCAGATAATATCTACTTGTGAGGCAGATAACTGAAGCAGAGCCAAGGTTTTTAACAGCTCTACAGGAGTCCTTGATTACATGACTTCAGTTCTAGAACACAAAATACCTGAGGCATGTGTCACCGGAGCGTTGCAGGTCTGATGAGTGTGACAGGCAGAGCTCAGAGATTGTCAGTTCGAGGCGTGTGAGCTGTGAGCTCAGTTCAGTCAGGTTCTCATTTGTGTCACTAAAAAACAATGCCCTGCTCTGGTACCTGCAGGATGGTGCTGCCTTGTCTGCCAAAGGAGCAGTTTGTATTAGAACCATTGCTGAAAGAGCAGCAGGGTTTAACAGCCTGGCTTCCTCTCCCCACTCTGCCCCCAGCTGCTGCTGGCTCTGCAGGACACTCTCTGCAATTTATCATCTCCTGAGAGATGAGTGTACTGAAATAGAATGACATAATCATAATTTCATTTTATGAGGCTTATCAGTTGCAGCGTTCTAGGCACCTTGCAAGCCTAAAGCCATTAAACCTGATAAAAATCACATAAATAATTTAAACTAAGCCATGTTGCTGGGCTGCCAACCTCTGCAGATGAGGCTTCATGCTCAAGTGCCCCATGCCCCAGGCTGAGGTCAGCCAGACACCCAGCTCCTGTTTCAGAGCCCTGCTCTCTCAGCACCTTTCCAGCTGTGCTGGTGCATCCCCCACACTGAACATCCCTCTGCACTCGTGCACATCCTGCTCCCCCTGCCACGTTGGGAATTCCAAAATAAGGACTTGGCAAGAAAATCAGCCCTTGCCGTGCCTTCACTGGAGTGTCCACAGGGATTAAATTAGCAGGCAAGCTGTTGCAAAGGATGCTCCTTGAGGTGATGTGAGGTCAGAGCAGCCTCCAGCACGCTCGCCTCGGACCAGACGGAGCAGTTCCAGGCTTGGTGGTGGTTCAGGCTTTCCGTAGCCATTTCCGTCAGCCTCAGCTGAGCAGGAGGTGTTCTCAGTCCTTGGCTGAGTCATGTGATGTGACTGGGGAAGAAGCAAAAGAAAATTGTGCTAAACTGATTTTTCATGAGTCTCAGAAGAGAGGCTTTTTCTCTCTGTCTGCCCCAGCAGTTGTTATCTTTGGCAGCGGTGCCTGCACGCAGGAGCTGTTTTCTGTCTCTCTGATTGCCAGGTCACGCTGTCAGTCCTGGTGTCTGCAGTCTAAACATGGATCTCCACAGATGAATTGTGTGTTCACAACCCTTCTTGCCACCTTTGCACAAGCCTGAGAAAAGGGTTGGTGCAAGGAGAGAAATAAATCCATTTAGGAAATAGTGCTGGCACTTCAGTTACAGCTCAAACTGAGTCCCTCTTGAGACTCCTAACAGGCTTAGAAAGAAATGAATCCCTGAAAGGACACATTGCCAACACTTTATATAAATAACAGGTATTTGATGTGGCATGGTTCAGGAGCTTCATGGAGGGAGGCAGAAATAGGGGCACACAACACCTGCTGGTCCCTAAATGCACCAATTAAGCCTGCTCTGAAAACCAGGTTTCCTCAGCATCCACTGCTGCTGTGTCCTGTGTATCTCGGTTCCCTTTGACCATCCAACAATTGCACAACTGTTTTAACAAGCGTGTTTCACCCAGTCTTACACAAACAGCCAAAGCTTTTCCTGGTGCGCCGTCAGTAATTCCCTGTGCTGTCTAATCCCAGGGACGGAGGCGTGGCCCCCAGGGGTTTGCCTGAAGTATGTCGGTGGAGACCAGTTTGGGCACGTGAACATGGTGATGGTGAGGTCCCTGGAGCCGCAGGAGATGGCTGATGTCAGCGTGCAGATGTGCAGCCCCAGCACCGCCGGAATGTATCAGGGCCAGTGGCGGATGTGCACTGCCACAGGACTCTACTACGGAGGTGAGCAGCCCCTTCCCTGCCCACGGCCCCACTGGGGACAGCACACACACAGAACGGAGCAGGGGGCAGAGCTCTGCCAGCCCTGGGCTTAAATACACAGCACAGAGTGGAGGAAAACATCAAGGGAGATGCTTTGTTGTCTTGGTCAGTATTTTCTAAGCACTGGAACAAATTACAGATTACATAAAACTCTGGAAAACAAAGGGATGTGCACAGCTCTCATGGAGACTCTTTCCCATTCAGTCCTTGTTGAGATTCTTTCCCAGTTTTCCATTGCTTAACTTTGTGAGCTGCATATGAGCATAAAATAGTGGTGAAACCTCATGTGAAGTTAATGCCCAGGGTTAATGCAGTGACTTAGTGCACCCCCTGTGAGCTATTTCTCTGTTTAAAGAACACATTTGGCTATTTTGCCTGGTGCTTCAGCCTGGGCCTCAAACATCTGCCTTCAGTGCAGCCTTCCCTCCCTTTTGTGCCAGCTTTAGTTTACACTGAGAACATCTTTGTGTCTGTGTTGGCAGCTGGGAGTATCCCAAGTTTCAGGGCTTGAGTGAGCGGTGTTGGCACATGGAGGCAAAAATACCAGTGCCAGAAGGAGGGGGCTGGCAGTGCTGGCACTGCCATGCAGCTCCTCATTGTCTGGAGGGGACACAGTGTGTCCCTGAGGGATATCCCCGTGCAGGTGGGACAGCCTGTCCAGTTTGTGTTGCTGTTCCTGTATACTCACAAAGCCGAGCGTTTCCCAGGGTTTCCAGAGGGTTCACAGTCCTGGACAATGGGAGATGTCCCTGCATTGCCAGAAGTTGTCACTTTTGCCAGAACACAACCTGAAGATTGAACCTTTTTGGCCGCCAAGCTCTGAGTCCTTCTTGCCCTGCAGCCGAGCTGGTGGCTTTGCTGGGGGCTGCCCCGGCGATCCCGGGGCCCGGACGTTTGTCCCGTTTTGGGGCGGGGGCCCGGTGGTGCCAGCCCGGGGTGGCACCTGGACCGCAAGGCCGTGAGAGAGCGGCAGAGGGCGCTGCGGGGCCGCTCCAGAGCCGCCTGTGGGGGGACGGGTATGGGGCGGGGAGGGGGGAACACTGGTGGGGCTGGGGGTGTGCAGGGGGTCAGTGGTGGTTGTGCAGTGCAGTCAGTGGTATGTGTGTGTACAAGATCAGTGGTGTGTGAATGCAGGGCTCAGTAGGGGTGTTTGTACAGTTTTCAGTGAGGGGAGTTATGCACAGGGGGATTAGTGGTGTGTAGTAGGAGTCCTGGCCCTAGTAGAGTGTGGAGTTCTGTAGGCGAGTCACATTCCACTAAAGTAGAATCTCACTGTCCTCAATTGGCTCCTAAAATTCAAACTGCTAATCCCAGGCCTGTTAAACTGGGGGCACTGGAACCAGTACTGCTGAGGTTTTGTAAAAATGTGCTTTGAGCAATAAGTCTTTTTCTTGCTAGTGTAAAGGATGGAATTCATTTGCTCCTTCTGACCCTTCTTCATAAACTCCTATTTAGTGACAACCCAAACGTGTATCTTTCCACAGATGTCATCTGGGTGATCCTCAGCGTGGAAGTTGGAGGACTTCTGGGTGTCACACAGCAGCTGTCATCCTTTGAGACAGAGTTCAACACGCAGCCGCATCGCAAGGTAGAAGGAAACTTTAACCCATTCGCCTCTCCACAGAAGAACAGGCAACCAGATGAAAACAACCTAAAAGACCCTGGGGGTTCCGAGCTAGGCACAATCAGCAAAAACACATGGGGGCCTGCTCCTGACCAAATCGAACAAGATCAGAATGGACTGTCACAAAACTCTGTAAATCTCTCCCCCAGCAGTCACTCGAACAACTTGTCGGTAGTGACGTACAGTAAGGTAGGTGCCCTGGGCGAGCAGGAGAACGGGTAGGGGAGGAGCCTGGCAGGTGTGTAATTGCTCTTCCTTCCAAACTGCAAAGCCCTTTCCTTCTGCTTCTGCCAGACCTGCTAAGGAAGGTTCTGAATTTGACTGTCTGACTCTGCCAAGTCCTCATGTTATATTAAAATATTTTTTGCCTCTGATAGACTCTACCAGATCCACCTTTTTGTTTTTGCTTCAAGTCCTTCTTAAAATTTATATAACCTTGTTTGGGTGCTGTAACCACAAGTGGCTGGAGCCTGCTCCAGTTGCGTGTGCAAATAAGTCAAAATATCTCTCTAGATGTGTCCTGAGTTTGACATAATTTTGAACAGACAACAAATTACCACACCCTCAAAGTTCAGATTAGCCAGATAACTTCTTTTTAGCTGGTGTGGGGAGACTCCAGAGCACACCATTTGATCTCAGAAGCTGCCTGCAGGAACAGTCAATCAAAGGACCGTTCCTGTCTGTGTCCTTGTCTTGTTCATAATTGTAGGTGACTTTTAAATTATCTTTACTTTAAATCTCTCTCAAAAGCTTGCTTGGTGGATGCTATATGAGTCTGAGTGATATTTTGACTGTTTTTATTTGCTTGTGTGTGAAAAATGAATTGCAGGATTATTTACAATTCAGAATCCACCTGTTAATGCAGCAGTATGTGTAGGTGTGTACTGTCGTATGTCAAACTAGTTTGATTTTTTAAATCCTTTAAAAATGCTTTACTGTACTTTGAGCAGGCTGTGTAGGACAATAACACTTGGTTGCTGAATGACTTAATAAAGCCCTAATGTTAGTTCACCTACAGCACTTTAGTTCCTCCCTGGATGCCCTGCCTGTCCTGTGCCAGTGGATCTTGTTTTAGTGACCTTTACCCCGGGGCTGTGCATCTTTTATGGCTGGCATGTGTGGGGTGAGCCCGATTGCCCCCCTTAGTGGTCCCAAACACCATCTCTGGGCTGGCTCCTGCTGCCAGGCCCTGCTCACAGCAGTGGAGTGGATGGCTTGGGAAGTGATGGCTGCCAGTGAAACGCCCCCTGAGGTGGCAGTGCTGCGTGCTGGGGTCACGGTGCTCCCCAGGGGGCTGGGCTGGGGCTGCCTTCAGAGAACATGGCTGTGAGGAACCAGCGCCCCTGGCAAGGAGCAGCTGTGCTGTGGGAGAGGAGCCAGCAGGAGAGTGAAGCAGCACCTGAGAGGTGTCACAAGGTTGAAGTGAGCTGGTTTAGCTGGTAACCCAGAGCTCTGTGCTCTGAGGAAACGGGGGCAGTTATAATCTAACCCCAAACGTAGGGCAGGTGACCTTTCCTCCCCTTTTTCCTTGTTTTGGGGTTGTTTGTTGTTTGTTTCTTTTTGTATTTACAGAATATTCTTGGGTGGATTTGAGGTGGATTGTCTGGGATTAAAGCAGACATTTTGTTTGCTGGCTTCAGAAGGGACAGCTTTATAGTCCTTTTTTTGCTTTGGGGTGGGGGATATGAAGAAGCCAGTTGATTTTTGGGTGGTTTTTCTCTCTACTGCAGTTCTTTTGTTTGTGACCTACTAAGACAGATTATTTTATCCTTTGGAGGCTGTTCTGGTAGGTCTGAAGATCTGAGTCCTGTTCCAGCCTTGCCCATCCTGCCCAGGGTAGGAGGTTTTCTGCCACAGACCCAATATTCATATTGGTACAATACTGGTTCTGTAGTAAACAAGTTTTGAGGGAGTTGGACATCCCAGATGCCTGGTCTGGTTTGAAATGGTCAGGTGAACATCCCCCCCATTCCCTGACCAGGCCTCTGGGAAAAGGAGATGCAGTTTGGTTTGGTTTTTTTCCCTTTGTGTGCATGGTGTACCCAGCTGGAGATGCTGCTGGAGCAGAAAAGGAGTTATTAGAGGTGATGTCAGGGATATTGAATTACCTGAGGAACAGATGGAGCTCCAGTTCCTGTTGGGAAAAGCTCTACCTGGCCCATCTTCTCCTCATCCCCAGGGGATCTGACCTGTACTCTGCTGCTGCAGAGGAGAAGGAAAACTGCTGCATTGGGACCTGCTGCCCTGTGATTGAATACTGATGTGAAAGGCTTTATTTCAGGTTCTAGAGCACACAGAAGAGCACTGTGGGTTGCTTAGGCAGTGGCACAGACTCCAAGAATTCCTGGATTTTATTTATTTGGGCAGGATCTCTGATATTTTTGTCTCCTGTCATGTACCTGGGAGAGGGAGGGAATCCCCAGGCCATTTGGTGAGTGAAGGAGATGGTTCAGGTTTAGTTAAAGTGTTGAGAAGAGCCTGTGTCCTGTATTTAGAAGCAAAATAAGCCCTTAAATATTTCTCAGCTGACTGTGGAGGCTTCCTCTGCTGACAGACACTGGGGACACCCAGTCATGCAGTGCATGAGACCATGAAATCTTTGAGATAAAACGAGCAGTTTCTGGCATCTGCAGGTGTAAAACATACTCGAAGCTGCCAGACCTTGTTGGAATTAGTTCTCCCTCTGGTGCACTGAGCAGGTGTGACTTGTCCTCCAGAGCTCCCATTGGAGTCAGGATTGTGGCTACACCAACGTGCCATCTGCTGCTGGGTTACACAAGTACAGCAGCATTTCACACCTGGAAACATTCAAAATGCTTTTATACAGCAGCAGCAGAGTGGGTGGTTTGGGTGTCCTGGGGAAAAACAAACAAAACCAGACACAGAATTCCCTGTAAGTGGGTAAGATGAAACCTGTGGCATGGCTGGAACAAGCTGTGTGCCCTTTATTCCTGCTATGGCACCCACCTCCCTGGGGCCCCCTGCCCACCATCCACACTCACTGTGGGGAGGCTGCAGGCCAGGGCCTGCCAGGGCTTTGCTTGAAGCGTGTTGTTGTTAAATCTGTTCCCAGTGGAGTTTTTGCATGTTCTTAGATGTAAAGATGTGCCTAAGTGCAGGATAGGATGCCCAGAAGTCACCATGCACAGATACTTTATTCTCTGGCAGTCACTTTCTCTGGATTCTCCAGAGATCTGAGGTTGATACAGCTCTCTCCTATTTACTCCTGTCTCATAGCAACCCTGCACGGTCACTGCTGCTCTCTTGTGACTGGCTTTTCCATTAAAAGCCCAAGATCCAGTCTTACAGTGCCTGGGAATTAGAGTTTAATTGCTTAACTGAGGAAAGAAATGTACATGTTTCCATGTTTGAGAAGATCAGAAATGAATAGCCATATCCTGACACTTAGATTGTACTTAACATCTCTGTATAAAACCCACAGATCTGTATCCAAACCTGCTGCCCAGGTGAATTGAGGAGTCACTCCTCTCTATGTCAGGCAGCAAACTGCCCCTGGAGGTTGTGGTTCTGCAAAGATTTGCCCAGACAGGACACTGAGCATCATCCCCACCTAAGCAAATGGTGCCTGGCTGTCCTGGCCATTGCTTGTGCTGCTCTTCAAAGCCCAGTGAAATAGAAACATATTTGGAGTCCACAGCTGTAAAATCTGAGCTCCCTTTTTCCTGCTGTGTTTATGCTCCCCATCTCCCTGTGTTCTGTGTGGAGTTGAGCTACCTGGCAGCTTTCTGTACATAAAGGGAAACCAACCCTGTGTCCTTGGAGCCTTTAACTGGCTTCCCCTCTCTGAGCTTAAATGTTGTTGCTGCTTCTAAAGCCATGCTTCTCCCAAACCAGGGCCTCCACTTTGCAGATTTTTGGAGTACCTCTGTAAACTATAGACAGAAATACTTTTACTGGAAGCTGAGCATCAAACTGTCTTTATGCATGAGGATTATGCCCCAAAAATGTTTTGAAGCCCCTTCCATGCTGGTGTCTGGGCTTCACTCTGGGCTGGTCACTGTGTGGTTCCATCCATTTAGACACAGTGGGAGAAGGTTGGACTTGGAGCTCCCACAGCACTGCAGCCTGGCATGAGCTGGTTTGCATCTCTAGTGAGAGATTGGTGGTTTGGGTGCTGCAAGTCAGCTCATCCACGAAATCCATGTCCTTCCAGACTGTGGGAAGTGCCAGATAACCTGGGTTTAGCCCAGCTTTGCCCCACTGCAGCCCAGCAGAGCTGCCTGTTGTTTATCCCAGCAGCACATCAGGGAACTCGGGTACCCTGCCCCTCCTCACCCACAGGCACCCGACCCAGCCCTGCAGTGCCTGCTCCCAGAAGGTCCTGAACTTCCTGGTGGTCTCCCAGCCACGCCATGTTTGCACAGCATGCATGGAATAAAACACAAGTGCTGGATGTTTGTTCTCTGTTTGTGCTCAGTTTTACGTAAGCGAGGTTGGAGCAGCGCGGGGTAGGAGCGGCCTGAGGGGATGGGGACCTGCAGCCTGGGCTGGGCCACTGTCAGTGCCCACTGGGAGACTCCTGTATTGCTGTGCATCCACCTCCTGTCCCTGCAAGTGTACCTGCATTGGTGGTGACTCAGTCACAGAGGTGAAATAAAGAGCTGTCTGAAAGCCTGTGTGTGATGCTTTGTGAAAGATTTGCTTAATCCTCGCTTTGTTCCCAGCACAGGTACCTCGGTTTGCAGAGCTCAGTATTCACAAAGGGTTTTAACTACACAAAACATCTCGCTTCCCTTCTAGAGGCACGAGGCAAATGATAATTTATACCAGTAGTTGTCATGCTTGGAAAATCACAGCCCTGTGTTGTGACACACTGGTCTGTGTGAAGAGCCAGTGCTCCCACCAGCAAGTGAGCAGTTACTTCTGGGGAACATTCTGGAAGAACTGAAAGAGTTTGCAAAGCTGCAGCTGAGCTTTTCATAAAAACAGTGATCCCACTTGGAGGATAGACGGGAAGGCACCAAAAATACTGGGAATAATCCTTCCATTGAAACAACTCAGAAAAACTGCAATTGTCTGCAGAATTATTTTTGCATGTTTGTGATGTAAAATGTTGCATAGAGGGGATAATTAGGCTTGAAAATGTCATACAGGGGTTTGGTATTTGCATTGCAGCAGTAATTGAAGTTTTCTGGTACCAAACCCTTACATTGTGCATGGTGACTAAATGTCATGGGACAGGGGAGGTGGAGTTACCTGCACTAAAGCAGCTCTCACTCACCTTAAAGATGCAAGTGGGGTTCAATTTCATGTTCAGTAATGAATCTTGGGTAGGTAGAATGTAATGAAGAGTGGCAATTCCCAAAGGAAAGATTTGGGGCTTTTCCACGGTGAAATTCCTTGTGTCAGGAGGAGCTGACCATGGTCACAGCATTGCCAGGGGAGCTCATTGCAGGTGTCAGGTGTTCAGTGCAGGGTGGCAGGTGGTGCAGAGCTGTACATGCTGAGGAATCTCTTGTGCTGAGCTAAACTCTGGGTTTAACTGACACAGTTTGCATAATTGCATAGCTTTAAATTAGATGCTTCAGAAACCATTCTGTGGAGATCCAGAGGGTTTCCCTGCAGACCAGCTCACGGTGACTTCACAGGGTCTCTGCATCCAAAAGCACAAATGAGCTGCTCTGATGTCAGACTGAGGGTGACTGGCAGTTCCTTACACCACAGGGAAGCTTGTGGAACCCCCAGATTACAGCAAGCAAGTTTGTTTTGCCTCTGGCATCCCCCATGAGGTGACACGGGGTAAGGGTGGTCCCAGCAGAGGGGCAGGGGGTGGTTAAACCCCTCCTGAGCTCACCAGGCAGTGCCTCAAACAGAGCCTTGTGTGCAGGTAGCTCAGAGATGAAGCAAATTCTGGCAGATGTGTCTGTGCAGGTCATCAGCAGCAAATCCTGTTTTCCTTCTGCAGAGTGCTAAGCACAATAGCTTAATCCCTGTGAGGTGAGACTGCTTGGGATCCTGTTTATACACTGCTTTTCCTCTGTGTCCTTTTCTTATACACCATCTTAATGTTTCTCTCCTGCTTCTCCCCCCTGTTTCAGTGAGTGTATTTTTGGAAATGTTGGATTTCTCAATCTCTGGATTTTGATGGGAGCATCTCCTTCCTCAGGTGAACTGTCATGCTGGAATCTGCTGGCTGTTCTCCTTTGAAAAGCTTTACAAACTGGCACTGCAGCATATTCCTGGGGTAGAAGCCTGTTTGTTTTTCCATCACTTGCGTGTATTTCTGTCTGCAAACAGCAATTTCCACGTTCCCAGTCTTTCATACTTCCCACGCAGTTCAGGAGATGTCCTGGTTAATTGTCTGCTGATCCTCCTCTTGGTTGGATTCTGAGAGCTGCTGAGCTGCTGAGAGCTGCTTCATTTTGCCATTTGCTTGTATTTACCACCTGATTATATCCCCAAGAATGAACTTTTTCTCCCCAGCTGTAGCAAGATTACAGACTGTTCATGGCACTTCCTTCCCAGTCAGATCTGCAGCAGAGCTCTCCAGCCTGGGGTTTGCCAGTGACGTTGATGCTTTACATAATCCGTGTTCCCACTCGTGGCTCCACAGCCCTGGCTCCTGCAGTGAGGGGGTTTTGAAGTTGTAGAACATGAAGGAAATGGCATTTCCTAGGAAATTTGCCCTGTTAAAGGCAGAGTGGTGAAAACTGAGGTCAGAGCTTCCCATTCAGCCAGAACAGGAATGGTTTGGGCTCTCACTGCCTTACCCAGAGTGTGCTGGGAAGAGCTGGACTGTGTTTAGAAGCATTTGCATAATGATCTTCCAGCTCTGCCATGAGATACGAGTTTTTCTCCCTCATCTCCCTCCTGACCTCAGTGTGTGTGGGGGTTGTACCTTCTTCACTGTCAAACTTCATCTGCTGTGAGCTGGGGCATCCCTTGCTGCCTGTTGGTCTTTCTTCTGCTTCCTGATGAAACCCCGGATAACTGATGTGGACAATAGAAGTTACAAAAGGAGTTCCTGTTAATTTGAGACCTGTGACTACACCTGACATTTAGGTGACTCACTTCAGGATGTAAAGGAGGGAAATGGATTCTCTAGGAAGCATTTTGGGGGTTTTGGTAAATGCTCTGGTTGATTTCACTGGAGGCAAATGTGCATTGTCACCTTGAGGAGGCACACATGGCACTTGTGGGATTGTCGATTCTTTTTTTGTTGGGTTTTTTTCTGGCAGAGCCTCTTACCCATTTACAGCCCCATGTCTGTGGGACAGACAGAGGAGGCTGCAGGGGCTGGGTCTGCAGGTGTTGTAGCACCTATAGGGAATTCTGGTGTAGAAAACACAAGTTAATTTGTGGCCTTGGCCTAAAAAACATCTGACAGAGGTAAGTGGTGGCATCTGCCCTCTCTGGGGAAGCCAACCCTGGAATGTGTGCTTTCACTGTCCTTGGAGCCGCAGTGGGGCTGGTGGGAAGCCCTGGGCTGGGCTGGGCACTCTTTGGAGCTGAGCACTGAGCATTTTGTTTCTTGCCTGTTGAAAATTGATTATGTCTCCAACTTTCTTTCAGGGTTTCCACGGTCCTTATCACTTCGGACAGTCTTAAAACACAAAAACACAAAACGGGTATCGACAAGAGGAGAATTTAAGAAAAAGCTGACTTTTGGGGGAAGGGAGGGGGATTCATGTGGCAGACAGACGCAGCGTGGACCCCCCTTCTCTGCCTCCGTGTTCTGGAAAAGAAGAAAAAACAAAAGCCCAGTAACTTAAGACTAGCTGTTTCCAGAGGAAAATCCAAAACCTGAGTATGCATGTGTGACTGCTGGATTTCAGAGTGGTGTAAATGCTATGAGGAAGAAGAGACACCAACACTATGGGTTTTTAGAAATCATCTTCACGTGTAATTAGGTAGCTTAAAAAGAAGTTTAAAAATGAAAATTTAAAAGCCATCTTTAAAAAAAGGATATTTTGCCTACAGAGCGGTTGTAGTTTGAGCAAATGTTTAATTTCTGTTTGTTTCTTGTTCTCTTTTTTTGGTTTTTTTTCCTAAGGGACAGCGTGCATTTTCCCAGAATGTCCTGGTTTGCTGCTGAACAGGACTGGCTCAGCACCTGCTGGGGTTTGTGCAGGGACTGCTTCTGTCAGGCTTTTTTAATGCCAGGTTGGGTCTGCACCCAGGACTGTGTTTTTAACAGCATCTGCTGGTTTTAGTTACCAACTTTTTAATCTTTTATTTCCTCTTTTCCTTTTGGTTTGGGTGTTGCTTTTAAGTTGTCCTGCGTGTCGTTGGGAGCCACGTTATGGACAGGTTTCAGTATCAGAATTGGAGAGGGAGACACTGGGACTTCTGGGATAACATGGAGGGCTCGTCTCCCTTCCCTCTTGTACATGAAGTACACAAATACACACCCATGTTGATAAGAAACTGATTTATTCAAGTTGCTGAGCTGTCCTGTGTGGTTAGCAGTTAAAAATCCCTTTTTGTTCACTCTCGTGTGCAGTAGCTGTGCCTGGAGCTGTGTGCCAAGAGGAATCTCTGTAGCTGTAATTCACCTGCTGATAGTTGCAAAGCTTCACAGACATCCTGTCCTTTTCATTTGGAGTCTCCCCTCTCTTTCAGAGCATAAGTTTGCATTTGTTTCTCCTGTGCTGAGGTGTAGCTCAGAGGCTGATCCCTGTGTTCTGGAGCACAGAGCAGGAGTTGACACCACCAGCTGGGTCCCACTGTCACCTCCTCTTCTCCTGCCTTTGTCATCTGGGCTTGGGGCTGCACCGAGGCTGTGAGTGGGCTCATGTTAGGGGAGGGATTGCAGAAGGTTTGGGCTGCTCTGCTGTTCCTCCAGCATGTTCTCCTCCCGTTCTGGACTGCAAAGTGCAGTGTGAGGGGATGCAGCTTGGTCTCAGGCACGGTGGTGGATTTATTGTGAAATGCTGACCCCACAAACAGAGAGGAGTGAGCCCTGCAGCACCATCCTGCCCAAAAGAACCAGGCTGGAACAGCCATCTGCCAAAGATACAGGAATATGCAAAGCTCCCTTTACCTTCTTCCAGATCTGCCCAGTGAAGGCTTTTCCCTGTGTCAGAGCTGCACACTGCATGGCTTTGCCCTCGCTGCTCTTGGCTGCTTTTGTTTTTATGGCTGGTTTGGAATGGGGGAATCTTTCATTGCAGCTGCCAAGGACTGGTACCTGGGTGCATGTGGATGGACCTCGAGGAGCCAGTGGGAGTTCCTGGTGTCCAACAGAGGAAGGACTGGGCGATGGATTTTGTTCACATTTCAGAGGTTCAGTTGTTACAGATCACCATCAGCTGAAATCTGCCTTCAGAAATCTGTTAGCTGGGAGAAACAAGATCAGAAACTGCCTGCATAGAAGTGGCCCCACAGGATTTGAACTGCCTGACACTTGTATTGCAGTCTGGTGGGCACCTGGCTGTGCCCTGGATCTGGGCAAGTGTTGGGATTGGAGTGAACCTCCTGAAGGAGCTGCTTCTTGGAAGCTTTGGTTCTTGTGCTGTGACATTTGGCCTTGGGTTAGTTCTGAGTATTAGATCTGAGATTGATCTAGGGCGTGATTGCAGCCCCACAGTGTGGTGTGGGCAGGTGGAATCTTTGCTCACTCGCTCCTTCCCTCACAAGCCCCTCTGAGGAAATGAACATCACACCTGCAGCGCTGCTGCTCCCTTCTGAGGGCACTGAACCCCTGGAGACAGCTCTTGGTTCAAGTGACGAGGTGATTCCTTATCTTTATTGGCTCCTTGTGTCAGCTGCATAGTGGAAGGGAGGAGAAATCAAGGTCTGAGCCTGAGTTGGAGCTGGTGCTGTGACCTTTGCCTGGTGGCAGCAGAGGCACCTGGGAGACCCTTGCACTCGGATACCCCCACGCTGACTTTCTGCTCCCAGCCACGTGTGCTCCTCCTGTGTCCCCTGGCTGCCACACTCGTGTTCCTGTGCTCTTCCTAAGGCTGAATTTATTCCCTTGTCTTGAAAAACCAAAACCTGCATGTGCCCCAAGTAGCCATGTGCTTTCCCACTCCGAAGGCACACGCGTTTGCAGTCCGTGGTGTCCTGGTGACAAGGGGTGCACGTTGCAGGCTGTGAGGGAAGGCAGGGCTCTGACATCTGCAGCTCCTGCTGCTCACACCCTGCTCTGCCCAGGCAGCTGAGGGATCTTTGGGGCCGGGCTTGTGGCCCCTGCTGTGGCACTGCAAGGATGTTTAAAACGGGTTGCTCTATCTCTGTGTTTTTCCTCGAGTAAAAACTGTTTCACTGAGGCCAAAGGTGGTTTTATCTCCTGGTTTATTGGAGCTTCGTGTTTCAGCTGGCCCTCAGATTGCTCGTGCTTCAGGTGTCCAACTTTTGATGGGGAGATTGAGGTGAATTTGGCCAAGTTCTGCCCAGGTGACCTCATGACACTGCAGTTTGTATCAGCTCCCATAAGGGAACGGCTAATGTAGAACATCTCTGATGGCCTCTGAGTGGGTCCCTGTGGTAAGCAAGAGCCACTTGGACCCTGTCACTAACACAGCTCAAGCAGTGTCACCTCCCAGCCTTGGCAAAGTGGAGCAGGATGTCCCTGGGACTGGCCCTGAAGTGGCAGTGCCATGGGAGGGGGTGAGAGAGTGGGAATCTTCTGCCCACACCTCAGGAGTGCTGGACTGGAACCCCGCCAAGGTTTGGGAGCTGGGGCAGAGCCGTGCAGCCAGAGAGCAGTGGTGGGGGTGGAAATGCACGCTGTCCCACGTCTGGGTTTCTGTTGTGTTTCATTTTTTCCGTGTGTGAGTGCGTGGGTGGTTCCCAGCCTGTCTGTGCTCGCCGGGGCAGTGCATGTGTAGCACGGGATGGTGTGTTGCCTCTCTGAGTCTGGGAGAAGTCCTATGATAGCACATTGGGGGTGAAAATAAAGGAAGCTTTTTCCTTAATGTATAAATGAATATTTGTATGATTAAATTAACACAGAAAAAAAAAAAAAAAAAAAAAGCTCTGTAGCTGTTGAGAGTTTTATTGAAGCTGCAAAACTTCTGAGTCTGTCATCTTGTAAGTAAATGTACCTGGTTTGCTTCATTCCCAGAGTATTTCCAGACACTCAGGCACAACTCCCTTAAACCCAGCTCCAGCCCTAATTTAGTCCAAATTGCTGTGAAACCAGACCCAATTCAGTGCATACTGAGGTTATCAAACCACCTGGGTGGGAGTGAGGGTGGGGAGAGGCTCTGGGGGTGGTTGTGAGGCAGGGGGAGGGAGGGAATTCCCAATTCCCTTGTGTCAATGTCAGCTCACATCTCCAGGACAGCTCCTGAGGAGGAGTGGGATGCTCTGAGGGATCTCCATCCGAGGGGCACCAGCACACAGCAATGACACAGCTGTGTCCCCGGTGTGGCTCCTGGGGTGGCTGATCCACATCCCAGCCTTCCCTCGGAGCCTGGTGCAGGACAGGGTGATACTTCACACTGCAAACAGCCCGGTCCTGAGGGGTCAGACCTTCCATCTCCTGAGTGGCTCGGGAAGGCAGGAGCCGGAGTTTGAAGGGAGGAAGGTTGGTTTGGGTTTTATTTTCCCACAATCGCTAAGGGAATCACTGACACTGTCAGGATGGGGGCACAGGAAGGTTTCACTTTGCTGGGCACCTGCACACTTGTCCAAGGTGGATCTGAGCTCCCAGGTGAGGCCTTGCTGCCCAGGACACCCAGCCCAAGCACGACTTGGATGAACTGCGCCACGGAGCAGCTCGGCTGAGCCCGTTCCTTTGCTCACCTGGGAGCTTGTCACTAATCCCCACGAGAAACCTCGCTCTGTGTGTGCTGGCTTTGCTTTTATCATTTGAATAAATGCCTGGAGCTTTCATGTGCTGGTTAAGCTTGACTGAAAGCCTGACTGGGAACAGACATCCTGCTCCCTGTGCCTGGGGGTGTTTGTTCTGTGCCTGGAGCAGAACCTCGGGGTGCTCTGGGTGTCCCGGGGCCGCTGTGTTTGGGCAGGGCAGCATCGCCCGCCCCGCTCACTGCCCAGCTTTGCATTTACTCCTTATTTGCTCGAAAGAATCTGTTTATCTTTAGGGTTGCAACCTGTCAGAGGTTGCCAGCACAGGACAATCCCATCACACCTTTAATGGAGTCTCCTGAGCAGGCAAATACCCGCGGGATTGCCGTGGTGGTGGTGGAGGTCATCCTGCAATCCCAGGAGCGGAGCTGGCGGGCAGGAGGCCAAGGCAAACGGCAGCCACAGCACCTGGGAGCTGCTTGGGTGCTGCTTTTGCTGCTTGTTTATTTTTTTTAGGGGAACCAGATCATCATCCATTAAAAATTGCAAAATTAATTCTGGTTTTATGCAGGTTTTTTTGGTTCCCAAAGCAATGGCAGTTGGAGGGAGGGTGTTCCCAGATTTTTGTGGTGGATTGCAGGGATGAGGATGTGCTCAGCACCCAGCACTGCTCGGGCCCATGCCCTGTGCCTTATTGAGTACTTATGCCCCTCAGGCTGGAGGGAAGAGCAGGATCTGCTCCAAAACCTCCCCGACACCACCTCATCCTCATGTGCGTGCTCCTACAGAAGGGGAGAAGGAAGGCATGGAGTTTTCAGGAGTATCCAAATAAATCCACTTTATTCTGGATCAATATGGCATTTTCATGAAGTAAAAACATTAAGTGGAGGGCTCTTCACCCATTTATATTTTACTAAAATTCAGTGAAATATGCAGATGCAGGCATGACCTCGAGGGTTCCCATGGGCACCTTCCCATCCAGGAGCCCCACCTGCAACAGTGGCAGAGAGGATTTTTGTGATTCCTGTTTATTTTTCCCCCTCTACCTGCTCCATCCTGCAGCAGCAGCCCGTGGTGTGCAACAATCTGCTCCTGCATCTCTGCAGATCCCTTGGGAGGCACAGGGGAATGTTAATGGACCAAGGGGGACAGGAGGCCAGGCCAGGCCTGGGATCCTACCAGGGTCCATGGGGAAGGAACAGGACCAGGGGAACCTGGGATCTTTCTGGAAGCTCTCCACAACCTGCTCCCTCTGCCTGTGTGTTCGTTGGAAAATTCCTACTTACACAGGAATTAATGAAGGAAATCTAATCTCAAACATTTCCTAGCCCATTGATAAAACAGCCCAGTAGTAAAAGCTGGCAGCAGAGCCCAGCAGGGAGGCAGATGGCACGCGTGGGCACGGACCAGCCCTGTTTGCCCCATGCAGGGCTGTGGGCTGGGCTGGCTCCAGAGCTGCCTCCTTGCTCGTTGTACTCCATGTTTTGGTTCTCTCTTCCCTGCAGGGGCGACACTTTCACAGAAACTTAAAGCAGGGGGAGAAAAGTTTGGTTTTCACCACCTGAGCGGTGCAGAGTGCAGTGAGGTGGGACAGCCATGCCCAGGAGTGGGGACACCGTGGGACCACAGCTCCGTGTGCTGCCAGGGGACGGTGTTGGCACCACGGGCTGGGCTGGGGGCTGGCCCGGGCTGGGGGGCTCCCAGCCGAGGCGCCCAAACAGCGTTTGCTGGCCACAGGCCCAGCCCGGGGCAGGTGCCAGCAGAGGGAGCTGAGGTTGTTCCTCGTCCACAAAACCCTTTGGAGCTGCTGGATGAGGCTTTTCCAGGCGTTGATGTCCCCCCACCTGCAGAGCAGCTGCTGGCTCGGCTGGGCAGTGGGGTGGCACAGTGGCACTGCCACTGTCACCGGGCCTGTCAGCAGCACCGAGGGGCTGGGGCAGTGCTGCAGAGCCAGGCAGGAGCTGCTGGGCAGGGACAGAAGGGCTCACCCCTCTGGGCTGGGAGTGAGGCAGGGTCTGCACACCTGGAGAGCCAGCTGCCGTCCCAGTTTGAAGGGCTGGGGACAAAAGGGGGTCTGGCTGCTCTGCTGTGGCCCCAGGGTGGTGCACAGCTCTGTGGGAGGGAGAGAGGGACCCCAAACCGTGGGGCTGGGGTAAAGCCCTTTTTCCAGGCTGTTTTCTGGGACAGCCATCCCACAGGACGGAGCTTTCAGCCTCTCCTGGGTCTCTGCACCTCTGCTGTGGAGCAGCTGGGCTGGGCAGGTCTGTGCAGCATTGGCATCCAGGGGAGCACAGCAAGAACTCCCGTTCCTTATCTAATCTGCAGCATTTTCCCTCCTCGCTGTTTGCTGTGGCCGTGTTTCCTCAATCAATTGACAGCTGCAGGCTGGGCTGTGATGCCAGCCTGTGGCACTGCAGCTCCAGACCCCGGGTGGCATTGGAGGGACCCTGGGATGAGCCCCTCGAACCCCTGTGAGCCCAGCAGGGCCATGAACGCCCTGGCAGGTGACAGTGAGAGGCGCCTGAGCAGTGACACTGCTGCACACAGGGTCCCTGTCTGTCCCCAGCGAGGCCTCAGGGACACCCAGGCTGTGCCTGAGGGACACAAACCCACCCAGCAGTCACAGCGCTGCCCACAGTGGGGCTGTGCACGGCCAGAGCTGGATTCTGCACAGAGCTGGGCAATCATGGCCACTGTGCCCTTGGGGTGCCCCCTCCGAGCCCCCCGAGCCTGGCAGCAGCCCCAAAGCCCCCGTGTGTGCCCCACAGTGGGATGGGGAGAGGACAAATCCCCAAATCACGGCTCTGGTTGGTCCATCTGGGCAAGGAGGGGTGAGAGGGGGCTCCCTGCCCTGCAGGTGCCTCCCCAAGC